TTGTAGGGTTGGGATCATCATCATCATCATCATCATCATCATCATCATCAAATCACCATCATTATCTCCACCTGCGGCCCCTGATTGCAGTAATTTGGGTTTCTGCTGTTCCTCCACCTGTACCAGCTCATCAGATGTGATTTCCTTGCATCAGAGATGTTTTCTTCTGGGAAGTCTCAGTGCCTGGCAGTCAGTGGGAAGCCCACTAAGCTGTCTGCATGCTCAAGTTACTTGCACTTCCACTGTGGCCATCAGTGTCCCATTTTCCTCTGGCTCCAACCAGGCTCCCATTTCTGATGTTCCTGAGAAGGTGCCATCACAGCTGGTGCTCCACATGAAATGTGCCAAGCTCTGTCTGACTAAAGCCTTTGCAGGAGTGCCCAGGATGGGCTTCCTTGTAAAAACAGCAGAGGAAAAACTTCTCTCCTGCAGCTTAAGGTATTCCATAACACATTCCCTTCTGCACTCAGGGATAACACAGAGGAGACTGCTGAGGACAGGCCATGGTCTTGACATCATGCCTTTCTCCACCCTGGATGAGTGACTCAAACAACAGGAAGCCAGGGGATCCCTTTCCAGGGTGTGAGGCTTTGCTCTAAAAGAGAAAAGCCCAAACTATCCCTCTCATACTATTTTTCTGTAGGCTGTGAGGCCAGGAACTAGCAGGTGATGCTCTTGGGAAGGCTGTGGCTGCCAAGATACCAGCAGACATCAGAGAGGGGACTTTATCCTGCATGGCAATGGACCAGAGAGGAGAGAAAGGGCAAAACCCCCTCCTTTGCCCCTTCACTTAATTGTGTTGTTCTGCAGATAACACATCCCCTTCGTGTTCAATGGGTTAAACTGCTGGAAACAAGCACCAGGCTGGTGTAGTCTAAAAATACCCCAATTGTGCTGACAGCCAAAGCAAGCAGAGGCTCCCAGGGGCTCTTTTTCTATCCCAGCACCATGTGGGTGCCCCAGCTGGCTGACACTGCCCCAGGTGAGATGAGTTTGAAGAGCAGGATTGGTGTCACAGCCCCTCACAGCCTCGCTGCACATGGTGCCTGCACCCTCTGCCTCCCAGCTACTCCAGAAAAGCAATGCCCAGCTCCCACCCAGCCCTGTGCCCCTGGTCCTTGCTGCCTTCAGGTGAACAGTTCAGCCAGGTGATTGCAAGGGGCTGAACAAACAGACTCATTAAAAACAGGGCAGGACATCTCCATCACCTGTGTGTAATTGGGGACAACATCTGTGTCCCCAAAGAGGCTGTATTATTCATGATTTAGAATAATCCCAGATCTCATTGCACCATCACCTCCCCTGTGTCCCCAAAGAGGCTGTATTAATTCATGATTTAGAATAATCCCAGATCTCATTGCAGTTTGGGTGTTTTCCATTGGGAAGATGGAAGAAATGCTTGCTATAATTTATTTATGTTATACTGGCATAATTTGCATGGGTGTTCAGTTTGTGTCTGCTTGTGGAGTTACTGGTTTGTGATTGCTGGCTGCACTCACAGCCTGAGACCTTTTGGGACTGCTGATTTATTTGGCCAACACCACCCCAGCAGCTGGCATTCCAAGCTTAGGATTTCCAGGCTGTAGGGATTCAAGTGTTTGAATGCCTGGTCAGGGAGGGAAATGGTTCAGTGCCCCAGCTCTGAGGCAGATACAGCTTGCTTGCCTTCCTCCTCCTCCTCTCCACCTCTCCCTTTCCAGATGCAAATAATTCCATATCTGGCAGTGTGTAACCACTAAGGGGAAAACATCTGCTTTGGCAAAAGTATGTAAGATTCTTACTCCTGCTTCACATTCTCAACCATGTGTGGAGTAGAGGGAAAAAGCTTCCATCCTATGCCTGCTGGCACAGCCAAAGTCTTGTGTTCAAAAATGCCAGCAAGCTCCCAAAGATTGGATCATCATAAGTAATAAAGAAAATGCACTGACACTGGAAGAATGAATTGGCTCCCATGAGTAGGAAAGTGGCCTGAAGAGGAATCAGAAGTCAAGGTTCAGGAGATTTTAATCCCAGTTTCTGTATCTATTCCCAGCCCAGAGGAGAACACTTAAATTCTTTGTTAGATTTATTCCTTTCTGAATGGGACTAGACTTCAGCTTAGTCACTGTGGTATTTAGGGCATTAATTGGCTAATTCAGCACCTTGCTCTAAATATCTTAAAAGCTTCACTGGAAGGATTTGAAGCTGGAGTTTAAGAATTATTGCTCATTTTTGACCTTTCTTTGTAGCACATCTTGGAAGAGTTAAAGGTTAGGCAAGAGGGGAAGATTTTCATTTTTAAAAGAGACAGGCATTTCCATTTGGCAAGATTTTGCATCCTGATGGGAAAACATAAACACCCAGCCTCTGATCTTGCCTCAGTCCATATTTAATCTCAGAGAGTGCTGTGGTGTCATTTTGAAGACAACACTTGCAGGAAGCAAATATTCCAGGCTTCCTTCTGCTTTGATAAACTATAAAGGAAAAAAAAAAAGGTGGGTGAAGCAGGGCAGAGATGTCACATAATCCCACACAGGGGACACAAGAGACATGGAAGACAATGCCACAGAGCAAAAGACAGCGATGGGGAGACTCACACAACATCCTTTGGGATTATAATGACTTTCCCTTTCCTCTCTGCAGAGCCCTTTGTTTTTGTGGATTTGGGGATGAAACCCTGCTGGAGGCAGCCCAGGGGTGGTTCTCATGCAGAAGATGCATGAGAATCCCTTGTCCCTGTGCTGCAGGGCTGTGTTCCCCCTGCCCCAGCAGCATCCCTCACTCCCCTCCATGCCTGCTCCGTGCTCAGCTCCGGCAGGGGCCACAGGGAGGGGGTGAAATAAGAAATCGGATCCAGCCAGCAGCAGGAAGACAAGCAGGGTTTTAGGAGCTGGTGGAGTGCTAGGAAAACGCTGGAATTGAAGCTTGCAGAGGGTGGCAGGATTAAAAATAGGCTGTAGCCAGCCTTCCCCAGCATTTTGGCATCTAAGCTGCCTGTTATCCTTGTGACCCACTAAGGAAGAGGCAGCAAAGAAGGAGATTCTCTCTTCCACCCCCCCGGCAGTGCAGGACAAAATGGTATTTTGCTTCTAACCAGATGGTTCTGCTCTCTTGGTCTGATAAGATTTACTACAAGGGTGTAAACTGAGTGTTTTGTCCCTGTTTTCAGTCCAACCAAGGGCCTCCCACCTTCCCTGAGTTCAACAAGGCACTCATGTGCACTGAGTGCTCATTCATTCACATCTTTCAGGCTGTTTGCAGGCTTCCATCCTTTGAGAGGTGAAAAAGGCAGTTTTTGTAGAAACCATCATTTTAATTCAAGATACTGATGAAAGAAGGCACTTCACAGAACTGTGTTATCCAATACAATCAACATTGCACCTTGGTACTCACCTTAGCAATGCTGTATTTGTTTCAGAAAAACCCAATGACAATTCATAATGCTAAGAGGTGTTGAAATCCATACTTAGAAAAGGTGCCTGAACCTCCTGGCCAACAGCTCATATTTTAGGGGAGCCAGGAACTGCTTCTTCTGCTCCTTACCCATAGTGTGTATTTCTTTGTGTTGGTTGTGGGACAGACAAGGTTTCCCTGAGCTGTGAGTTTCAGCCAACCATGAGCACAACATAGCACCTAAAAGTAAAAAATCTGCCTTGTCCAAGAGTATAAATTTAGGAAGAAGAATCTTTGTGAAAGGCGGCTGAGGTGTAGGTTTTTAGTTTTTTCTCCAGCTTTAATTTTCATGCATCAACAAGTTCCTTCATCTGAAACATTTTGGGAAGTTTGGAGTGTGGTTGCAAGATTTGTAAGTTGCAGAGCCAAGGGCTGCCACACCAGGTCCCCTGGCTCTAGCACTTTAAGAAGTTTAAGTACTTCTGCTTGGTTAAAACATGCCCTCAGGTAGCAGCCTGTGACTGGGTGTGCAAAAATTGTGCAAAAATGCAGTGCCACTCCTTTTGTGTGTGTGTGTGTGTCTGTCTGTCTGTCTGTCTGCCAGAGCCAGCCTGAGCTGGGCAGAGGGTGAAGGGCTCCTGCTGCCCACATCTGTGACGGTGTTCACAGGGGTCTTAGGATGAGGGAAGAAATGGATCTGACTCCATGTTTCAGAAGGCTTGATTTATTATTTTATGATATATATTATATTAAAACTATACTAAAAGAATAGAAGAAAGGATTTCATCAGAAGGCCAGCTAAGAATAGAAAAGCAAGAATAATAACAAAAGCTTGTGTCTCAGACAGAGTCCAAGCCAGCTGACTGTGATTGGCCATTAATTAGAAATAACCACATGAGACTAATCACAGATGCACCTGTTGCATTCCACAGCAGCAGATAACCATTGTCTACATTTTGTTCCTGAGGCCTCTCAGCTTCTCAGAGAAAAAATCCTAAGGAAAGGAATTTTCAGAAAATATCATGGCTACACACATCTCCTGTCTGGGTGGTTCCAGGGGTGAGAGGCTGGGGGAACACGTCTCTCCTCCCTGTGCCAGTGCAGGGTTGGAGCCCCCGGCAGCCCCAGCCCTTGGGGACAGCTTTCCCACTCTCATTTGAGTCTTGAGCATTTTGTTCACTTCCCTGCCTTTAAAAAAAATACAAATTTGTTCTTTGTTATTGTGAAGTTTAAAAACGAAACATTTAGAAAGCCCTGGGAAATGGGAGAAGTGGGCAGGGCCCTGCCATAGCATCAGCTGGTTTGATTTGTCTTTTGCCATAATTATTTCAATATTTGCTAAAAGCCAACCATAAAATACCCATTTTTCACACAAAGCCTTGCAGCCAGACATCAATAATTTCCTTTCGTTGGGGGCAATGATGATTTTGCTATACTCAAGGAGTGCTTTTCCCACCTTGCTCTCCGAGTGCGGGAAGCGAGGCGGTCTGAGGGGAGGATGGTGATGTGAGGGCATGAGAGGCAGCCTGGCTCTCTCTTAGGGTTTCTGCCTGGCTCTCAGGGGTTCTGTATGGCTCTCAGGGGTGCTGCCTGGCTCTCAGGGCTGCTGTGCTGCTGTGTGTCCCTAGGCACGTTCGTGTCGGCCTTCACCGTGCTCTGCGGGGCCCGCACCGACCTCCCTGACCGGCACCGGTGCTGCGTCTTCTGGCTCAACATCGCCGCCGCCCTCATCCAGATCCTCACGGCCATCGTCATGGTGGGCTGGATCATGAGCATATTCTGGGGCATGGACATGGTCATCCTGGCAAGTAAGTGCAGTGGGATTGCCCTCCTGATTGCTCCTCTCCGTGGCAATGGTGCTGTGTCCCGGATGAGGGCCCTGTGAGCTGCTGGGCTGCACTGCAGGGAGGAAGAGCCATGGGATGGGCTCTGCAAGTCCATGAGAAATGCGGTTACTCTGGACTTTTCTCTGCAAAGCAGAGAAATTGCTGGGAGGTAGTGGGAATGGGCCCTGTGACGTATCTGGGAGAGTCTGCCATCCCACCACATGGGTCAGGAAGTTCCCTGTATGAAATGCAATGTCCAGGAAGGGGGAGTGCTGTGAACTCTGCTGTCTGAAGCCCCTTCTGACCTGGTCACATCCATTTGAACAAGAAAGCCCATTCTGCCTTGCAACTCTGGCTGCAAATCTGTGGTTAGTGAGACTCTCTTTCTCAGCCAGTTCCCAGGGCCAGCTGTCCCCAGAAAAACCCTGGTTACTCTTCTGGACCCTCCTCTTCTTCCCCAGGATACATTTATCCATTGTTTTGGAGTAGTTTTTCATGTTTCAGACCAAGTTCTTAGGCTGAGCCAGAAGTGTTTTGCTGCTCCTAGAATGACATCCCATACACCCTTTGAGTTGACTAAAACATTAGTTCAAGGAAAGAAGAATCCTTTTTCAAATGTTCGTAATTTAAGCCATGAGTTAGTAGATATCACCAGTCCAGAAGACAGGCTCCGTAACTTTCATCTGGTAGAGGCTTTCACTGGTGGGAAAATAGTGTCATATCTCCTGTATCCTGGTGCAGACGTGGAGGTGACAGCCTCATCTCACCTCCAAAGCCAGAAGCAGCAGAGAGCTCAGGATGCTGGTGGCATCTGCAAGACCCTACTCCCATTCCAGAGGTTGATGGGCAAACCCTCAAACCAAACAGGTCTGAGACCTTCCAGGCTGACAGGACAGGCAGTTCCCAAAGCAAGCCCGTCTCCCAGAGACCATTTTATGGGCAGCTTTTTGCCTTTTGCTTTGAAGAGGCTCCACTTTGTCATCTCTGCTGATGACATCTGTAGCTGCATGACAGAGGCAGAGAGAGGATCTTGGGAAGTTGCCAGAAACCTTCCCAAAGACGAAATGGATGAAATTGGAATAAAAAAAAAAAAAAACCAAACAGGAAAGCAGTGCACATTTTCAGCTGCCAAACCCAGGGGTTAAAGCCTCTCACCAAACCACCTGCTAATTTCTGAGGCAGCTTCAGTTAAGGCAGTCCCCATGCAGAGCAAAGGTGGATATTAAAAACTTGAGCATGTGCAAAGCAAAAGCTTTCCTCATGATGAAGGCAGTACTGCTCTTTGCTTTACCCTGCAAACCACTTGCCAAGTTTCCTCCCAAATGTACATTTCTGAGGCTAAATTGTGAATTGGTGTACATGTGTGATGTGTCTTCAAGAATCTGCCAGATTTGTGTGTAGTGCCAGAAGTTCACAACCATCAACTCTTGTGCTCTCCCTCTGTGGGGCAGCCCCTGTGCGTGGGTTGCTCTCTGGCAGGACTCCACTCTCCAGATGTGGGGAGAGCCAGGAAAACATCTGTCCTGACAGAGAACCACCACCGAAACTGTGCCTTGCTTTGCTCCAAAGCCCTGCTCTCCAGCTAGAGGGGTTGGTGCTTAGGAGGGTCTTACTGGGAGGGTCTTCTCCAGTTTCACTGTTGGGAAAAACCAAACAGCTTGGAAGTATCTCCAAAACACTCCTCCCCACACTGGCTGGATTCCACCAGTTTGGGAGGCAGAGGATGGATGAACAATTTGTGGTGGGTATGCTCAGGTCAAGAGGTGCCCAAGAACAGCAGCAGTATTTCATCCCTCTGGTGCCAGTAGAGAACGGCAACGTTTCTTATGTTTTACCAGCAGCAGCCCTTGGCAGTTTCTTGCCATCTCATTAAATAGCTGCTTTTAAGTTTACTTGCCACGCAGAGAAAGTAGTGGCTAAATGTAGCAGCTCTGGGTTGATGGAGAATAAAAGAAAAACCTTAATTGAAACAAAGAATGAAGTGACTGGTTGCTCTTACCTGTATCAGACAGACCCAAAGTGGTTGGTTCCTGTTATCATATTTGAAAGAAAAAATAATAACTTAAGAAGGAAACCATGCTTCTAATGCAAGGAATAAGACATTTCATGCAAGAACAGTGCCAGTTTGCTTTGGTTGGGCTTTGTTTGCATGCAAACCATTGGATGCACTGAAGAGAAACTGTACACCACTGCAACTTGAATCTGGGTGCAGATGGGAAACAGTTAAAAAAGTGTGAAACCACTGCCCACCTCAAGTCCCCTTGCCTTGAAATTATTGATCCCATGTGTCCCTGTGAGGGTGCCAGGCTATTTGGGTGGGCTAGAGGCAGGACACAGCAGGTGATGTCTTAGCTGGTGAGGGTTAGCAGTGAGGAGGAGGGTGGAAGCAGCTGAGGGCCAGGAGCTCTGCTCAGGCTTTCCCCAAGGGATGGAGCCATTTCACCTGGCTCCCTGTCCCTGGGGCTGCCTCTCTGTTAGCTGGTAGAGACTTGGGAGGGAGTTAGAACAACATAATCATAAAATCATTGAGATTGGAAAAAACCTCCAGAATCATTGAGTCCAAGTCTTAAGCCATGACCATCATGTCCTCCACTGAGCCATGCTCCCCAAGTGCCACATCCATGTGCCTTTTGAACAGCTCCTTCCAGCTTTTCATCTTCTAGTGCTATTTCCCAGGCATGGAAAGGGGGAGTCTGCTCTGAGGATAATGGCATACTGTCCTCAATGAGGGAAAAAGGAGAAGAATTACAGTCCGATCAGGTATGCTTCAGTTCCTGGAAGAAGTAATCAAGTAAGTGACTCGCACGCATTTAGAAAATAAAAATCACCCCCACAAAGTCACCGTGGGTCTGTCCAGAGTGAGCTGTGTCAGACTGGCTGGATTCCCTTGGATGGCAGAGGAATTAATTTTGTGCGAGGTGGCAGCAGTCAGCCATCCCTCCTAACCTTCAGATGCTGACCCCGTCTCACACAGCATTCCTACCAGCGAGCCAGGGGGATGTGGCCTGTGTGAAAATGCACTTGAGGACTGTCTTCTAAATGGATTTTCCTGACCTGGGAAGAGATAAAGAGAGGTGTGTGGAAAGGTCCCTCCTGAATGCAGCTCTGCTCAGTATTTTCATTTTTGGCTTGAGGATGGGCTGGAGAAGAGGCTCCCCACCCACACCTGGCAGGCACAGCGAGGGCAGTGCCCAGATCCAAAGAAATGGTCTGGAAACAGAAAGTGCTACTCAGTGGGGACAAGCCCAGGACTAATCAACTGCATAAATACACTCTAGGGAACAACTTGTTTTTCAGGGAAGGAGTGGTGGCTGCAGTGAGTCACAAGCAGCACATTGCTGTAGAGGGAATGAACACCACACAGGCACATGGGAGCAGGGCTTGTAGGGTTTTCTCTGATCCCATCACCTTTCTCTGCATGCATAAAGCTGTGGTGTGGCTGTACTTCAAGTGGAAAACCTGGAGAGAGTCCAAAGAGCTATGGCAGACGGTAAGCATGCTGATGATTAAGGTGTTCAGTGGACAAGTAAATGTGAGAGGGCAGCAGTTCAGCCTAAGACAGACGTGAATAACACCAGGAAGGATCTGTGCAGAAATTAGAGGACGTTTTCCCTCCAGTAAGGTCAAAATGCTGCAGAGGTGGCATGGCAGGATCTGCTCTCTCTGTCCCAGGAAGACTCCAAGAGTGGGTAGACACATGTCTGTCAGGGACAGGGTGGGACACAGCAAGAGACTGACTGACCTGGGGGTCCTATCCAACCCTCATCTCCTCTAGGGTGCCCTTTATCAGGATAATATCCCAGAAGGAAGATAACTGAATGCAGTTTTGCTGTCACACTTAATTACTTTTGGCAGCACCACAGCACAGGGCATTTCTCTGCTAATTTAAACGAGCTGCTAGCTGGCCCCACTGGACACCAGAGAGATCTTCTTTAAGCTGCCAGATGGCTTTGGGAAGTGTCCTCTCTCTTTTGGGAAGTACCTGCTCTCTGAAGGCAAAGGTAGAACTAGGGAGCACTTAATTCTCCTGCCAAAGAAGGGCTGGGCAGCCCTGCTGCAGTGTGCTCTCCTGCTCACCAGCTCTGCAGGCACGATGCACAGGGCTGAGGCAAAGCACAGCTAATGAGCTGGCCAAAGCCAACTGCAAAACAACCTCCTAAGGCTTTCCAGGCACAGCTGCCTTGGCTCCAGGAACACCTCGTCCCCAGCCCACACCTTCATCAGCCCACTGTGCAGAATGAACTTTCCAGGAAGTCCCTGCCTGCTCAGAGCCGGGTGTAAAAGGCTGTGTGCCACTTCTTGACAGAAAGGCCAGAGAAATAACACAGTAATGTCACACTGACGTGGCACAGGGGACACAAGTCAGGGACTGTTTGTCCAGGCACTGTTTTGCCTCTGCTGGATGCAGCCAAGAAGTCAAGGCTGGTTTCTGAAGGAAGCCCTGGTTTCTGAAGGAAGCCCTCCCTCAGCTCTCAGCTCTGAATGAACGATGTGCTTGGCTGCACCATTGCTTTGGGTTCACTGGATGGAGACTTCTGCTGACTCCCAGGGCTGACTGCCAGCCAGCAGTGAGAACTCACCTGTAACCATGCTATCCCCATCACTCCTTTGCTAATTACTCTGTTCAGACCCTGCCAGAAGCAGCAGCAGATGATTGCACAGTCACTGTATGCTCAGGCTCCAAGGGAAAGCATCAGTGAGCCTCTCTGCTCTGCAGGGCCCTGCTGGGGCAGGTAACACTGCTCTCCTGGCTAGTAAATGGGAGCACAAACCAACCAGTAACCCTTCATGAGATGAAGAAAATCCAAGGACATATTGCCTGCTTGGACTTGCTACACTTCAAAAAAAAATCTAAAAAGAGCTGTGCCCCAAACTAGGCCTGAGGGGAGTAGTTAAAACACATTTCTTGGAGTTTCTTACCAAATGCAGCAGTGGGGCAAGTTCTTAAAACATTGTAGGAATGTTAAATAGCCCCAGTGTTTGCAGCACCCAGACAGGCTGAGGCATGCTGTGGTTGCGAGCGACCTGTGGGCACAAGCAAACTGAGCAGGCAAGCTGCCAAAAACTCTTCAGAGGTGTAGTTTTCCCACCTCTGGGACTGTGAATGGTATGCCATGAGCCCTTTGCTACACTGTGATGTCTTGTTTGGTGCCTTCCTTCAGTGGCTCCCCTTCAGTCACAGCCATGAAATGCCAATGGCACAGAGGAGAGAGTTTCTGGGAGCATTGCTCAGAGGTGTTAGCCCATCCAGCCTGTTCTGCCTGGGGCTGAAAAAGCAGATAAGGATTCCCCTGTCTTCTTTAAACAAGAGTCCCAAATGAAGTGATCCACTTCAAGTACAAGGATTTAAAGAAATGTTTAGCCCTGGTGTGAATGTCTGAGGGTAGAGCAGCTGTTCTCTGTTTACTCTGCAGCCTCAGTTTGTTCATTCTCTTCTGGTTCTCCGTGTGTTTCAGATATATCGTCTACAGTTACATTTCTCCCTCTCTCTTTCTTTCATGTTCCTTTGCCTCCTTTTGTTCACCATCAAAGTCTCACAAGGTAAGTTTGTTTCTGTTCTTCTTCCTCCTCATGCTCTGAGGCAGTTTCCCACGGAGAGCAGCAGGCAGGACAGCTGGAATTCACTTTGGCCAGCGCTGCCCACTCCCAGCCCAAGCGCAGCCTTTACATGTGTGTGTCCACTGTGTCTGTGTCTGTCCTGTGGCTGCACAGCCCCAGGGATGCTGGGAATCCTCACACAGCATTGAACTGCCCCTGGGGATGCCCCAAGGGTGCCCTTGGAGCAGAGCAAAGAGCCCATTTCAGCATGGAGAGCATCCTGAAGGCCCCCTCTGCATGAACCCAGTCCCAGAGGGACAGCCTGTGCACAGACTGGGCTCCTTTTGCCTCAAGCCTACCTGCAGTGCTTTACAGGAAAAGTGCAATTTCAAGTCAACTTGATTAAATCAGTGACTTTGTGCACAGGCCCACTTAATCCTGAACCCAGAGCTGTTTGTTCTACAGAATTGCACCTCAGTTTTATTGCAGGCACTAGAACAGCTAGTCCTATGCAAGAAATGCAATAACTATTTTCACATATGAACTATTTGATAAGTTAAGGCTGAAGTATTGTAATAAACAAGTTTAGCATAGGACAGGTCATTTTTTTGGCTTATGGTCATGTACAGAGACAGGCTTGGCCACTGTCACTTCCCTTCAGACAGTTTCAACAGTGACAGCCAGACTTAAAGGATTTCTCAATCTTAATTTCCTTATCTCTCAATAAAAAGTATGGCTGTACAAGTAAGTTACTCTTACTTTAGCTAAAGATTTAAGGCAGGCCCCATCTTTCTGGTCCATAGGGTTGGTTGTTTGGTTTCTTTAAACTCTGCTCCCTAAACAAATTAAACCAATGCCATAGACAAGCTCAAATTACAAGTTTCCAGCCAGCTCACCTTGCCTTCAGAGCTGACTCACACTTAAAACATAAATGCATGTGAAATCATCATTTTGCCCCCCAGAAAAAGCTGTTTGAAAGAGATGAGAGAATTCTGTTCAGCTGCACACAATAGGCAGAAATTCAGTTAAGTGTCATTATTCTGTTCCTTGTGCTTGTTTGGCAGCAGGAGGTCCAGGCTGCCAAACCTGGGAAAATGTGTGGGTTTTTTCCAAAGTACAGCAAAGTTCATTCCCTGGAGTCAATTCTTAGTTCAGCAAAAAGTCCATTAAAGATAGGGGTTCTGGCACCCGCTGGTATTTTATGTTCAGTTTTTGTAAGGGACTTAAAAAAGCCTAACATAAGGGTTAGAAAGAATATTACAAAGCATAAATGGAAAAGTGTTTGAAAAGTTAAGCATTCCTCTGGGATATAAAATTTCAGACTTCTTTGAAATTCAAAATATAAAAATGACAGGCTACTTATGTTATTTAAGCTAAGGAAAAAAACCCCATCCAGATTAAGAAAAGTTTTTTAGTTGAAAGATACTCACTGTGGTGGGCACTGCAAGTAAGGGCAGCTGGCTTCTTTAATCGGGAGATTTTTTGCATTGATAAAGTCAGAATAACAAGCTTCTCTTGAAAGGGAAGTGGGGAAAGCTTCTGGTGCAGTCACTGCAACTGTTTAGGACGGCATTAAAAAATCCAGTATTTTTCTCCTCATCCTGTACCAGCACAGGAGCTGCAGGTGCTCTGCTATTGCCCTTCCCTAGCCCTGCCAGGGGATGAAGCTGTCCCCTGTGGGATTTGCAGTCTGCAAATATGTGTGCAGGACAGTGAATAATCTGAGGCCCCAAGAGTTCAAGGAGCTGTGACAAGCAGCAGGACAGGCTGCTGGAGCCCTTGGAACATCCCTGTGGCTGCAACACAAGGGCTTTGCTGTCTTGGTTGGGAAGTGCATCAAACCTCATGGCCACAGGAAGAGGAAAGGGTGTGAAGGAACAGGGATCCTGGCAGTTTCCTCGGTTTTGCTGCTGAAAAGATTGGTTTCCTCCAGGCCCACTGGATGGCTGCTGTGCCCTAACAAAAGCACCTGTAATTCTGCAGGGCTGGAGCAAAGCAAGTGCAGAACCAGGCAGTGAGAACATCATTAGAGGCATCCCAAGAGCTGTGTTTGACACTTCAGCCTGTGAGTCAAGGCATTGCCCTCCTCCTCCAAGAGGTGTTTGCTCACCTGTGCAAACTGCAGCACAAACTGGGAAGTGCTGTCAGCAAAAGCCAGCAGGGGAACACAAAGATGGATAGAGGAATGTTGGGAAGGATGAAAGTTTGAGAAAAAAGTCTCACAGATATATATATCTTGGCAGATATATAGAGGGATACATATATATATATATATATATTATATATTATAAGAAGGAATAGAGATGGAAGCAAGTTTGATATAGAAGAAAAGAATTGCTGAGCCAGTCTTACTGGATAACCAAGGAGGCAAAGGGTGTGTTACTTAGAAGGGGTTTTTATGATTTAGAGCAAAGGATAAACCCACCTCAAACAAGATGTTTTTACCAAGCAGAAAGATAGCACAGGCAAACAAGTCTGCCAATGTTGCAAGTAGAAAAAAGGTCTCAGAATTTTCCACTGCAAGAAAATTGAAAAACAACTTCTGGTTTAAACTGTAATGTACTAACTTTTAGTGATTGGAGAATAGTAACATGAATATGGTAATTACAGTGGTTATGACAGGCTATAGATAAAAGTTAAGCTATAGATTGGTTCTACTGTATTAAGATGCCCAGCAAAGGAAAGTCTATAATGCATTGTAACCTAAACTCAGGGTCCCAGGCCTGCCTGCAGCTGGAGCTGACAGCTGTAGGCACAGCTCTGTCACCCACCTCCCTGGGCTGCTGTAACCTCTTGGATGGAATAAACTGCATTTTGGAGAGCCCCTGGAGTCCCACATCCCTCATTCAGGCTCTTACAGAGGAAACCAACCTCCTCTTACCTACCAGTGCTCTGGGAAGATGAGACTCAAACTCAAGAAGATCCCAAGGAGAGATGAGTGTGGGATGCACGACCTACCAGGGCAGTGCTTGGGAACAGCCGTGTCTCTGGAGCAGGATACAAGGGCATCCATTTCCCCTGCACTACAGGAAAACACACTCCATAAAATCTTCAGGTTGTTGGGCTGGAATTGGTGACCACTGGTACCTGCTGTGCTCTTACAATCCCTTCAAGCAGCGGTGCCTGTGCCAGGCTGGTGGCAGGCAGGTGCCAGAGCAGCAGGGCTGGCTGGAGCACCCACATGGCTGTGCCCAGGAAGGAGCAGCACCAGGCAGCTCTTGGCTAAAGCAGGGCAGGGGCTGCCCTGGGCAGCCTGGCCACGAGGGACAATGTGGCAGCCCCTCTGTTATCCTATGGGGTTTTTGCCACTCCTGGTAATCCAGGCTCAGCCAGGGTCCTCGTTTGGAATTAACTCTTGTCATTATGGAGCGCGACACGGCGCAGAGCACCAAAACTCCATCAGAAAAGGTGTACTAGAGAGATTCACTATAGCAACATGTTGCTTTTATAGTTTTTCAAGATATTTACATTTACTCAACATTCACTGACCACTGGTCATAAGAAACAAAGTTCTCAATAGGTGAACAAGGAACCACGTCATTCTGTGGGCCAGCTAAAGTCTGTATCTTTTAACTTTCTCTCCTTCATCACATTGTCATGGGGACAGCCTTGGTGTCTTCCTCGAGAGAGATACGGGGCTTTCCTTATCTTTAGGAAGCCTTCACTGGCTCACAAGAACAGCACAAAATGCCTTTCCTACAAACTCTAATCATGTTCCCTTCCCCTCCCTCCTCACAGGCTACAAGGAGCAGGGGATCCCACAGCAGCTCTAGTGGCTGGGACAAGTGTGGTCAGAGAAACGCGGCGAGAGATTTCCTCTGGCAGCCGTGGGCCACGGACCTTTTCATTACCCTTTGTCTCTCTTCTTGTCCCTTTGTTTTGTCTCCCTGTGTCTGCCCGTGCCCGTCCAGCGGAGCGGAGATGCAGAGCGGCCGGCGCAGACTTGCACTGACGCCCCCAGCAGCCGAGATGAGGCGAGCACGGCTTGGCTCGGACTGGTCCCAGCCCACCAGGAGGACGAGGGTGCCAGGACAAGGACACGCCCTTGGCAAAGGTGGCACCTGGGCGGGCAGCTGAACCAAGGGAGGGAGAGATCCTGCCTTCACTCTGCTCCCAGGGGGATGTCGCCGAAGATGTTTTGCCTTCTTTTTGTGCTTGCTGGTTGTGAACATCAAATGCCAAGGAGCTGTTCATAGATACACGTACAGGATGTAAAAGCAAACCAGTGGTACTTCCTTCCTGCCCTGAGAGTGCACCTGCGACTGCTTTGCAGCATTGGAGGGTCCAACCCAGCCCCCTCTGCTGCCTGTGTATGTAAGATGTTCACTGAAGCTCTGTCCCTGCAGATGTCTTGAGAAACGTGCTTGCTGTAAATCCTATTGTAGCGCTGACGTGACCGGGGCCATCCCCTGCTTCCACCCGCTGCCACCATGCAAGGACCAGAGCTGCCACCAGCCCAGGGGACACTTTTCCCAGCACAGGACTGGTGTCCTGCAGCACCTCGCCTCTAGGGCAGCAAGTACTGCCCAAAGCCTCTGGTATAAAACAATACTGGGGGAGCCAAAGAACCTTTCCTGCCCCTGGAAGGGACTTGCTGGCAGTGTCTCCATGCTTTGGAAATGGATCCCCTCAGAGCACGACGAGTGCTCCTGGCTGAAGCAGCATCCCAGCTCTGCTTGCCCAGGCAAGTATCCAGAACTCCAGGATCTCCACGTGGTACTAGACAGGTGCTTGGGAGCGGCTGTGGTTGGAAGGCCCGTGGCCAAAGGGGGTGGGGTTGTGATTTCATGGTTTCATTTCTCAGCTGGAGAAAACCAACCAAGCAGGTCAGTGGTGAAAAGCCAAGAGCCATTTGGGACCTGCACTAAAGCCAGGGGATGAGCTCCTCAAGAGCAGCACTGCCACAGCGATGGCCAAAAGGATTTCTGCTCACAACATTCAACAATTTCAAGTGTCTTTGTCCATTTCTACCAAAGGGACTGGTTCAGGGAGTGGCCTGTGCTGTGCACCTGCAGCTGTGCTGTGGCTTGCTGGGCTGTACAGGTGTTACAGCACTGAGCTTCAGCCTCTCCTGTGAGACAGACCATCTCTGCTGCTGCATTTCCCACCTGGGAAAAAAGGAGTAAATAGGACCCTAACCAGCAGCAATGGGGAATCTGTAGCACATCTGGAAAACACCTTCACAAGCTGCTGCTGTCATCAGTGAGAACTCTTTTTTGTGAGGTCTATAACTGGCCCTGAAGCCACCAAGCCACTTGGCTGCTCAGCTGCAGCAAGTGCAATGGCAAAGAGCAATGGTTACCCCTCACCTGTGCCAAACCAGGATGGCTGGGTCAAGTGCAAACACCAAACACTGCCTAAGCATCAATTCAGTTGTGCTGTGGTGTCAGGATGGGTGTGCAGGAGCCCCTGCAGACAGGGATAACAGGCCATGGATAAAAGGAACCAGGCAAAGCCTTTGGAATAGGAGCAGCAAGTGTGGCTTAAGAGCAACTTCTTCTGGTGCCTGTGAAGTCAACCCTGCCTTGGATTCACTTTTAGAAGGTGAATTTAAATGTGTAGTGGACAGGCAGCACAAGAAGCCTCAGGCTGGGGAGGAATAAACAAGCTGATATTTTCACTGGGCCTAAAGTGCCAGAAGTCACATCCCCTGTGGCATCAGGTGTCAGTCAGATCAGCAGCAGATGCCCCATCCCAGAGACCCAGCACCTGCACAAAAGGTCCCCTGGGAACAAAAAGGGACAGAATAAGCTCCTCATCAGCAGCACCAGGGTTTTGCTGACCTTGTGGGCCACACTTGGTGCTGTCTGTCTCTGCTCCAGTGAGGGTGAGAGAATTGGATTGGCTGGGAAAGGATTGAATGGAAATGCTGCCCTCCCTGGGATGGCTGCAGGTCTCTGAGAGCATCACTTTGGTTAGGTGTGGGTTCTGCCTGCATTTATTGCATGAAGGAGTCTGAGTACTGCACACATGAAGTGTGGGATTTATAATTTACTTTCAGGTTTTGTTATGTAAAATTTCTTTTTATCTTTCACCTTCTTACTGAATCGTTGAAGCCAAGAAAAAACTCAGTGCACCACTTCAGAGGCTCTGAAATCTGCCAAATGTCACCCAGGACAAAAAGCCTTATTTTTTCCTGCTTAATTGATTTTAATTAGAAGCAGACAGTTTCCCACTGTCAGCTTTAGGACAGGAGCCACTTTATAGATTGGCCTTGCTACCAGGCAGCAAGCATCAAATTGCATTTTCCCCAAGGCTGTCCTGTGGTAGTAATAAAAATGATAAATCCCTCTGCTTTTTCCAATAGCCCTGAATAAAACTGGCATTGCCAAGCTCCCCCAGCCCAGGTGTGAGCAGCAGCCTGCTCTCAGGCAATGGTGGATATTCTATTTGCAGGGAATGCCCCAACAAAGGCAGGAATGATGCATCTGACTCCATGCTCTCAGAAGGCAAATTTATCACTTTATGATACTATATTATATTAAAGAATACCATACTATACTAAAGAATACAGAAAAGATACTTACTGAATGCTAAAGAGATAATAATGAAAACTTGTGATTCTTTCTGCAGTGTCCCAACACAGCTTGGCCCCAATTGGCCAAAGAGTCAAAACAACTCACAGCAGAATCCAATGAAACAATCACCTGTGGGTAAACAATCTCCAAACACATTCCAAATGAACAAAACACAGAAGAAGCAAATGAGATAAGAATTGTTTTCCTTTTCTCTGAGGCTTCTCAACTTCTCAGGAGAAAAATCCTGAGTGAAGGGATTTTTCAGAGAATGTGAATGCCACAGGTGAGCTCCTCACCTTGGCTTCAGGTGTCCCCATGGCAAGCAGTGGGAGCTCAGAGACTGAGCCCAGGGCAGGGCTGTGCTCACCAGGGCGTTCTGCTCTTCCCATCTTTACTACCACACCCTCCAACATGACTTGGTTTTCCTCCTCTCACAAGAGGTCGGAGTGCTGTGGGCATCTGCAGGGGCCTGTCTGGTGCCCACTGACATGAAGAGCCACGCTGGGAAGACACAGCTACGAGTGAAAATCTGGAGCTTTCCCCTATCAACAATTACTTTTTTTTCTCTTTAGGGTAAAGTTAACCACCCAGCGTTTTCACACCACCTCCCGAAGCACTGCAGAGGGGACAACACCTCCCTCCACCTCCTGTGGGAGCTGTGACCAGCTGCAAACCAGCACAGCCAGAGGGCACAGCCAGAGCCCCTCCTCTGGTCCCAAGTGCATGGCCCCCAGCTATCCCAGCACCATCATCTGCTTTGTACATGTAGATGTTTGACATGCGAGTTTTACAGCTAAAGAGTGATCGTGGGTAATGAAGAATAAATGCAGTTGCTCCACCCCCATCTGCCAGCAACACGGAATTTTTCTGCTGCTCCTTTCTGATTGTGAAAAAACAGGAAAAAAGAAGCCACCAAAAAAAACCCCAAAACCAACAACCAAAACAAAAAAAGGGCTTTAATGAAATAGCTTCTTGGTACTTGAACCCAGCTGGGCTGAACAACTGATTTACTGCTCATTGGAAAGCAACTCCAGGGAGGAACCAAGCCAGTGAGAAAACAGCTTCACCCTGGGTGAGCCCAACCCTTGCACTGCAAGGCACAGCACCATTTTCCCAAGTTCATTGGCATTGCCAAATCCATATTTACCATGGAAAAGGTGCTTTGGCACACACAGCTCTGGCACACACAGCCATGGGTGAGGAGAGTCAGATGTGAGAGGGGACTCCATCTGTGCCACACTCCTGCTGCCCAAGACACAAAGCTACATGTCCCTCCCTGTGTGCATTGACTGGCACACATTTTATTAAAGACCTTCCAGTGGTGCTGGAAATTGCCCTTCACTCTTGCTGTGAGTGCTGTGCTGAGCTCTGTGGGCAGGAAGGTGAAGCTCCCAGTCCCAGTGTTCTCCACAGGGCTGATTTATTCCTTGCCTCCTGCTTGTTCTGGGCTGACCCTGCACTTCACACACATGCACACACTCCAGCCAGGATGCCTTTTATTGCTGCCCAGCCCAAACTGCATCCACTGCAAGACACCACCAAGAGTTCCTTGACATCCAAACCCCAGGTGCAAGGAGACCCTGGCTAGATCTGACATTCCTCCCAGGTAAAAGCAATGTCCTCTCCCACATGCTTGCCAACCATGGTGTGGCAACACAGCCCTGTATTTTCCACCTGGCTTTGCTTCCTGCTCACACACACAATGCACTTTGAAGCAGTGCTAAAATTTATTTCCCAAACTGGCACTCAGCATTCCCATCCCCCTGTGGGAGCAGCACGGTGCAAAACCCCAGGACACGGTGGTACCATCTGAAGCAGGGTTCATTACAGTGAATCCCACCGGAGCTCATGCTAACCACAACCCATCCTTCCTCCTCCTGTCTGTATAAATACCTCAGCCTGGCTAAAAGTCAAGTCCTGCTTCTCTTGCACCCACCCAAGTGGCCAGAGGGAAGCAACAACACCCTGTCCCCACTGCTGGAACGGTGCAGTGAATGGGAAGTGAAGGTTTTGTTCAGGCTCTAAGAATGGCAAAGGCCAGAGCAGCTCAATCCATCTTCCAGCCCTGAGAATGCTTTCAACAGGCAGGTGGAAGGGAATGGCACATTTTGGCTTGGGATCAAAACAGGGGCTCAGCTGTGCCAGCACTGATGGAGGTGATGGCAGTGCTCCCCCAGACACCCTGCAGTGATCCCACCCTGGCCCACACCCCTCCTGCACCCACCCACCCTGGCACAGGCACTGCTCCCAAGGCTGGCAGGGGATTGCTGGCTCAGGTCTGTGTGCTCTGTGGTTCTGGCCATGCATGGGGAGCTCAGATTTTCCACCTTAGGAAGGAGGGAGGGAGCAGGGGCCTGCCCACCTGTGCTGTTTGCACCTTGCTGGTGAGCCCACCTTTCCTTTTGGTACTGGAGGCCAGACTGAGGGGTTGCAGAGGACCATTTGTATGCCTGTTTATATCACTGAGTGTTGGATTGTGACTTCTTGTGTTTTGATACTGTGGATATTTTTTTTTAAAGTTAAATATATTCTATTGCTGGACAGCTGGAATGAAATGCAGAGTCTCTTTGTGTCACCTGGAGAAACCTCATCACCCCTGATTCCAAATGGGCTCTCATTCTCTCCCACCAGGGAGGTGATGGAGAGCATCCAGCAGACACCAGCCCACACCCACAGCCCCTGAGGAGAGGAGGCAGGAGCCAGGGCTTCCTTAAGGAATTCACAACCACAACCTTCCAGAGGAGTAGAAGGCTGGTGAGGAGCCTCACCTGAACCTCTGGAACAGAGACAAGGGAGGGGGGAAAGCCACCCTGTGCTGCCCTGTGCACATGCCTACCAGCAATCCTTCCTGACAGGGTTTTGCTCACAATTTGAACATTTTAAGGTGACTCCAGGTGCATTATCCCTGCTCCCTGTGAGAGAACAGCCCACGTGCTGCCAGGGGATTGGCCACAGACACCTGAGCAGAGCTGAGCAGGTGGCAGAGCCTTCCCATGAAAGGCAGCTTCTTAGAAAACCTGCACACTTCAGCCATCCATCCACACCCCATGCTCCTCCTGTGATGTACAAAGCCACAAATACCACTGCTCTGCTCCCTCCCCAAAGCCACTGTGGGCAGGGAAACACATGGGACATCCCAGCTGGGTCAGGGGGCCAAACTCAGAGTTGGTGCAAGGCCAGCAAGAAGGATCTCCTCTCACCCCATGGCTCTGAGGGCTCTGGGAGGTGAGGCAGAAGCTCCTTCCCCTTGCTGTGTGTTTCTCTCCAGCCCTCAGCAGGGGAAGCACTTTGGGATGAGCACTGGCACAGAGTAGTGTGATACTATTAATACACCCATGCACACACACCAGCACGTGGCACACACACTGGAGAGAGCTGGGATAATTAGCTCAGAGAGATTTCTTCAGCACCCTGCTAATGGAACCATTTCAGAAGGGGAGGAGGAAGATCAGCAATAAACCACACGAAAGCAAAG